AAGAATACTAGAATATAATGATCATTATGATTATAATAATAATCATTACTATCATTATCATTATTAAGAAATTTTACTCTGGCCAGTCATAGGTGAAGACTCAAACATTCAAAAGCACAGTGAACTGTTCAAAAATGTTTCCCCCCTAACGGGAGCCACCTTGCCGTGGTACTGGGGCTTGAGCTTCCAGTGACTTGGTGATCCGTGAAAGGGGATGGTGTACCCACCCCTGGTTCATTCCATTCCCACATTGGTACACCGTACATAGCGTCCATATTGCTGAGAGACAGGGGTCCTCCAGGTTAAGCATAAGGTAGTGACAGTTAAGCATTTTAAGAAGAAAAATCGACACCCACTCTTCTAATTTTTGAAGTAATATTCTTTCTGTAATCGGTACTACCTCACGGTAAAGCCATATGTGCCCAGTCCTATACAGTGCTTCCACTGTCAGGATTATGGGCACAGAGTAACTCTTGCTGTCCTAAGAAAAATGGACTCCAAAGAGTGTGTGTCAAGTGTGGTACAACAAAAAGATGACAATTGTCCAGGTCCAGTATGCTGTTAACATAGCAAAGAAGCTTATGAAACTACTTCCAAGATTGTAACATGTACAAATTAAAAAATATATATATATATTGATAATTAGGAACAAGTAGAAAGTTAGTTTTCCAGAGGAAAAGCATAATGCATTTGTGCTGTTTGCAGCCAGGTAAGTCCTTTGCCTCAGTTCTAGCCTCGCTTTCTTCCCATAATCTCTTAACCTCTAATACTTCTTGCACCATTCACTCTGCCACTACATTTCACTGCCTCTGGATGAGTTATTCCACCATCATAGATCTTGACATTTTGCAAGTAGATCTTATTGCACAGGATCCACATGGAAAGACTCTATAATCCTTCCTGTCAATGAGGGTCTATTGAGGAGACTACTCAACGGTGACATCTCCAGCTGCCACCACATCCACAGGGGCCTCCACAGAATGCCACTGAATCAAAAGCTCTGGTCTGCCCTTTGCCTAGGCAAAAGAATCCAGATCCTATTCAAAGAAATTAATTCCACAGGGTAAACAACATCCCTCCAAAAGTTACTCCGAAGACTCTGGTAAGGGAAAGCATTGAGCAGGTATTGGCCAGGCCTTAACCGCAGGTACTGCCAAACTCCTTATGAAAAGGTAGTTCCACTGGATATCCTGATCCAGTGGAACTGTCTGAGAATTCATGCAAAATAGGAGGAATTGCAACAGGTGATAGCTTCATGGAACCCTGCTTATGTATCGTCCGATTTCCATGAGAGGATTCCATGTTCAAGCCGACTATAGTACTTTTGATAAAGGATCTCATGGAGAGGTGATGGTACATCAGGATATTCCCTTTCAGGCCATCCACCTGCAGATGACACTGCACATGAAGGCCGTGAGGATAGGCTTGACATGACCTTACACTGTTGCATCCACCTACCTTCCTCCACATAATCACCAACATAAATGACTTGGAAGATCTACTTGGGCAGTTGCCTCATCTATTTCTACTTGGGGGATTTCAATGGTCAACATCACCTCTGGGGAGACATTGTGCAACCCTCGAGGAAGGGCCTTGAAGTACTTCTTTTCAAGAAGAGATGCAGTTTTACTGAACAGTGACACATCCACTCACTTCCAAATTCAAACTGAGACAATACTGACTTGTCAGTTGGTTCACCTGGTGCACAGTTGGATTTCACTAGGCAGGTCATGGAAGACATACATTGACATGACCACTTTCAAATACTTTTGGAGGAGGTGAATGGCATTCCAGCCAATGGTGAAGAGACTTGAGCATGTAGACTGGAATCTTTTTAGATCAACTGCAGTCATGCAGGCGTCTGTGAATTATTTCCAGTATGTTCAAGATGCTACTGATCATTTCATATCATAAATTCACCTTGCAGCAGAAGCATCCAATCCCAAAAGTAGTGGGCAGTACCATTGACCTCCGGTGGCGTGATGGTCTGATGAATACCAACAAGCTGTCAGAGCAAGAATAACTGCCTTCTCAACTTCGGGACCCCTGAGCATGGGAATGGGGTAAGGTGTGCAAGATTGCTGGAAAGAGCACATCCATGTCACTACCTGCTCTGAAGACAGATGGCATAACCCTAACAGACAAAAAGATAAACTAGCTATATCCAAGACAGAGATCTCTTCTGGAGCATCTTACACTGCCCGATGCCCCACCTTTTGGGCTGAACAGGAATGATGCCTAATGTCGTTCTTCAGTAGGACTGCAGCAGAATCTCCTTACAATTTGCCATTTTTGTGCAGAGAGATGGATTCTGCTGTGCTCCCAAAAGTTCCAGTTGGACCTATTCACAAGGATCCACATGAAAAGCTATAATCATTCCTATCCCCAAAACAGGCAAGGATACTTCCAGACCCAGGAATTACGGACCAATTTCTCTAACCAGCTGCGTCTGCAAGCTGCGGCATTGTTATTCTCATCACCATTTTTACCATCATTATGATTGTCAATGTTATTATGATATTGCCCTTTTCATTACCATTATTATCAAATGTTCTTGCCCTATCATGCAGACCATGTTTTTTTTGTTTTTGTTTTGTTTTGCAAACTTCTCTTGGCCGCGCCAGAAATATTGTTTTCATAGATATGTTTTCCACAGTTAGATACGTTTGGCAGTGCTGTTCCTGGAATCCGTGAGCGTTTCAAGTTCTTTGTACACGGTTTGGAATATTTGCAGTGATCCCAGAATCCATTTCATATAATTGTACATTTGAAACACCTTCCTACGATATTTAGTTTTAGTTTTCCTATGATATTTAGTTTAGTTTTATTCTAAAATCTTTATTTCTTTTTCTAAAAGTGATTATTGCAATTTACTTGAGAAAATATTTTAGCATTCGTATCAAAATCCTATATTTTTCAACTAATGGGACCAATTCATGTGCATTTTGTATGTATTTCTTCGTTTGGGAAGTACTGGAAGTTGTATTCTATTTTATCTAGAAGTTATCAGAAGAATAAGATACTGATTTGCCAAACAAATTCAATTTTTCATGTGTTCCTCACAGAAAATAATTTTCATTCTTTTAAGATTCTCGTAAGCCTTTCCTCTCATGTTATGGGAGGGCTTTACCAAAATAATTTGTATTTTAGATATCACAAGCTGAATTGGGGGAAGTGCCTTGACTTTCCTCTTCTCCAGTGACGCTTGCACAGCCTCGAATGCCGATGGTAAACACCAGTCATGTAGCTAACCACCATCCCGAATGCGTAGCATGCTTGCCAACAATGCAATTATCAATAGGACTGGAACGAATACCGAATCATTGTAAGTAGACTCTTTTTTCATTGAAAAAAGGTAAAATTTTAAAACAGGTAATATATGATAGAGGTACCAGCATGTAAACATCGAAATGTAAATATCACATTTCATTTATATACGTGTGTGTGAGGTGGGGGCTGGGGGGTGATTGCTTTCATTGCTCATAAAAAATCTTAAATCAATATTTTTTTTTACAAAAACACGTCTCTAATTATTTGTTATTATTTGTTATGTAATTATTTAATAATGCGCAATAGTAATAATGATATTGTTATTTATATTAATGATAAAGAAACCATATTTTATTGTTTTCATTTTACATGCCTGCATAACCTTTCACACGAGCTGAAAACATGACTTATAGCTGCCTGAGATTTTTTAGACTAATGTAGAACAGAAAACCAATTCTGAAATCCCTATTCATCTTCTCCCTCGAAAATGTGGAAAGCACAACCTTATCGCCGCAGACCGCCCCCTCCGTGCTGGCATTAAAAGGCCTCGACGAGGAATCCGGTGAAGGAGGTGTAGGCTTCGTTGTTCGGGTGCTCGTAGAGGCCTCCCTGCTGCAGCTCGAGGTGGACCAGGTCGCCCTCGTTCAGCAGGAGAAGGGCCGAGTTGGAGCCTTGCTGGTAGTTGCCCTTCCCGCCATAAGCTGTCACCTGGTACTGGCCGTTCTTCATCAGGGCCAACCTGGAACGAAGCAGACTGACGTTAGAATGACATCGGATTGTCTTTTCCAGATACACATGCAGTGTTGTAAGTGAGGTCCCGATATCGAAATGAAACCACAGGGGAATCTTATACAATTTTTTTTTTGCAAATTTTCGACAGAAAGATCACTCACGTGAAGTCGCCTCTGTCTTGAGCTACGCCGTGGAAGGAGAAGTAGTAGAGGCCCCTGCAGGGAGCCAGGAAGTCGCTCTCGGAGGGCGACCAGCCGCCCTCACGGGTCAGCACGTCCTGTCACAAGCAAACATGTCGAAATCCTTTGCTGCATTCATGATTGTCTTTAAATTTACATGGATAAACACGAGAAGAATACAGAAGAATTCTTATAACAATACCAAGTATCAGCACCGCTAGCCATATTTGCATATTTGATCATTTGTAATAGGTGCACACATCGGTGTTGCAATAATATTGCAGAAATAATCATCTGAAACCTGATACGAGTGGCCCTGGAATTTCGCAGTGTGGATGTTGCGCTGGTGGCCTTCCGGACGGAGAAACCTGCCGAGCACCTGCGGAAACTTAGGATTAGGTGCACGCAATGGCATCATAGGCTGAGAATGAGTAATCAGAAAGGTGAGGCGAGGTGGAGGATGAGCGGAGGGTTGAGAGGAGCTCACCTGTTCCCCGGCGGGGCGGGGGCGGGCGCCTGAGCAAGCCGGGGTCCGTCGCTCTGGGGGGCGCGGTCGCCTTGGCCAACGGCGAGGCCACTCAGTGCCAGCAGAAGTGTCAGTGTCACCATGCGCGCCATCTGGCACAAAATAGTTACTTCTTATAGTTTTTAAGGCAGCCTGTTTTGTAAGGCGACATTTACACTCTATCATGCTTCCTAAACATGCATAGTTGCACGACATGCTACACGAATTGAACAAAGGAACTCAAACTCACCTTAGCTCAAGCGACAGCAGGGAACGAATGCCCGTCTACTCAGCGGCACTGTCTTATATAGTCC